CCTCCTTTTTTTAGTAGAACAGGAAGTTCTACTATATGGAAATGTTTTCTCTCTCTCTCTGTTTTAATAAATTCAAGATAAAAAATAAAATTAAAAAATGGCATTATTATGATGGTTAAAAGTAATTTAGATCTATGGCAGCAATTAAAAAACAGAATAAATAGAACAGTTCAATATATATTCATTAAGGTCCTGGGCTAGGTGCTAGGGAATATACAAATATGAGTAAGACACAATCCCTTCCCTCAAGTAGTTTTTAATCTAGAAGGAAATAATACACAAATAAGTCTAACATGGAACAAAACAGACATGCATAAGAGGGGTACAAAGTATATAACATCAGAGGAAGGGAAGATCATTTTTGACTGGGAACCAGAGAAGGCTTCATGGAGTAAGTAGGTAGCATTTGAGTCAATTCTTTAAGGAGGAATGGTATTATTTTAACAAATCTTGAAGACAGAGTTAGAGGAGAATATTTCAGTCATAGGGGATGGTGTGAACCTAAAAGCAGGGAGATAGGAAAGTACAAAATTTGTATAAGAGACAGAGATTAGTAAAACTTAGGGATAGGCTTGAAGCAGGGAAACCAATTAGGAAGCTATTTCAGTACTCCAGGACAGAGGGGATATGTGAGTGGAGAGAAGGGGATGCATGAGATAGAAACAACAAGATTTGGCAATTGGTTGCACATATAGAGTGAGAGTGACAAATGGAGGATGCCACCAAGGTGGCCAACCTGGTGTCTGGAAGGATGGTGGTGCCCTCAACTGTAATAGGGAAGTTTAAAGAGAAATGGATTTGAAAGGAGAAATAACGAGCTCTGTTTTGGACACGTCTGCAGAATTTGAGTTGCCAACTGAACATCTTGTTTGAAATACTCAATAGGCAGTTGGTGATGCAAACCCGGTGCTCAGGAGAGAGGCGAGATCTGGTAGTTATCTGACAACTGAACCCGGGGAGGCTGATTAAATCACCAGGAGTGAGAGCATAGAATGATAATAGCTAACATTTAGATAGTGCTCACTAAATACCAGGCACAGGGCTAAGCACTTTACAATTATTACCCCATTTGATCCTGGGAGGTAGATGTTATCATCTCCAAGGCAAATAGAGGCTAAGTGACTTGGCTAGGATTATATAGCTAGTATCTGAGGCCAAATTTGAACTCTGACTTCAGGCCTGGCACTCTATCCACTGTGCCCAGGAAAGGTCTAGGAGATTAAGGGACTTTTCTAGAGTCTACCTTCTATCTACTATGTATCTTGTATGAACCTCGTTCTTTACATGGTGTCTCTCGCATTAGAATGCTAGTTCCTTGAGGACAGGGACTATTTTTTGCTTTCTCTGTATACCCAAGCAGTTAGCACAGTGCCTGGTATACAGTAAGCACTTAATCCATGCTTGGTAACCAAATGGATGATGAACCAGCAAAGGATCTTGAGAAGAAGCAGTCAGGTAGGTAGCAGGAGAACCAACTCTATGCCAGGCACTGGGCTAGCCCTGGGGTTACAAAGACAAACATGACACAGACCTTGACTTCAGGAACTGACATTCTATCAGGGAAGATAATGAATGAATGAAAAAGTATTTAATAAGCCCTTACTATGAAGCAAATCTGTTGAGCCATACATAACTACCAGGAAGTCTGGAGTTGTTGGTCTGATGGTATGATAGGTTTTAAAGTTCAGTCTCCTAGTTTTCTTCCAGGTTGACCTCAAGCCCCACCTGCATGAAACCTTTCCCTGACCTGATGGCACTACCACCTCCCTTTCCCCTAAAAAAATTACCTTGTATTTAAAATGTAAGCCCATTGAGGGCAGAGATTATTTCATTTTTTTCTTTTTAGTCTAGGGCAGTATTTGGTGTAGGCACTTAAATGTTTGTTGATTGATTACATATAGGCAAATGGTGAGAGATCAGTTAGTCTAGGGTAAGGCAGGTTGAGTTCCTAATAGCCTGACCCAGCAGTCCAAGCAAGAAGCAAATTTCAAATACAACAATGGCTCTCCTTTACCTACTGAATAACAATTCAGTATTCAAGTTCTTCCATAATCTGGCTCCAAGTTACCTTTCTAGCCTTCTCTAATAGGACTTTTCATCGTGTACTGTGTGTTTTAGCCAAATTGGATGTCCTTTTTCTCCCTGAAATGGGTCTCATGCTTTTTTACTTCCATGCTTTTGTTCTTACTTCCCTAAACCCAGAATGCTTCCCTCCCACCCCTCATCCTATCTCTGAGAGGAGCAAGGATCTAACCACTCACTACCTCAACTACTGCTTCCTCTTAAGCCCCAGTGGAGTTACTGAAGCATCATAAGCCCAAAAGTACTGGGGATAGTAGGATAGTAGTGCCGCCTACCCACCCACCCCTGGCACCAGACCATATAACATACACACAATACAAGTGTAGTGGACATGAAAGGTGGGATTTGGTTCCAAAGCCTCTATCAATAGCTAGTTCATGTGATCACAGAAAGCAAAGGGGAAGATAAAAAGACATGCTAACACCGCCCTGTTATCCTTTCAAGAAAAGTGAAATTACTTCTGATAGAATTACAAGGGGAGCCTGGCCATTGACTGAGAAAGTGATTGGCCATACCTGCCCAGAGTATCCCTTAAAAGACAGTTGGACAATTTGAGAAAATTCAAGCCCCAGTTGAAGGGTAGCAGACACATGCACACTCTCTATGGAGATAGACACATTCTAGACAGGAAGCAGTTTTAAGGAGCAAGGCCTTTGGCAGCAGAAAAGAGAGTCTCAAGAAAGAAGTAGCCTGGATAGTAGTTTTGGGCTGTGGAGAGCAGGTTTATAGAGTTCAGTTGAGCAACCTGCCTAGCACTATTGGATACTATGCCTAGAGGAGATCAGTATGCAGACACCTTGTGAAGAGGAAAGGACACTGGAGTCCTGCAGAATCAGAGGCAGGAGTTGCCTTGTCTATATGTCATCATCATTATATTCCAAGTCTGTGCTCCGCTTGTCCCACAAGTATATGAGAAGAATGCTTTGAGGTTCTTATGCCATCTTAGTAAATTAATTCCTTTGCTTTAATTGTTAAAGAAGACAATCAATGAGGATAGGGGAAAGAGAGAGAGAGACAGAGAGAGAGAGAGAAGAGAGAAAGAGAGGAGAGAGAGAGAGAGGAGAGAGAGGAGAGAAGAGAGAAAGAGAGAAGAGAGAGAAAGAGAGAGAGAGACAGAGAGAGAGAGAGACAGAGAGAGAAATTGTATTGTATAAGGCTTTGGGGCAACAGGGCTTCTGACTGGCCTCAGGAGTACCTAAGTCTGATGGATTCAGCTCCTTACCTACTACCCTTAGTAACACTCATGTAGATGGGAGAAATGATATCTATAGTGAATATTAACACCAAATTTTATTCATCTTCTGGAAACATGATTAACAAGTACTATTTCTATAACCTATTATTGTGCCATTAGAGCGAGATATAGTGGATGTAGTGGATAGAAAGCTGGCCTTAGAGTTAGAAAGACCTGTGTTCAAGACCTGTCTCTGGCACACACTGGCTGTGTCACCCTGGGCAAGAAAGTCACTTAAACTCTCAGTCAACTCTCTAAGATAACAGTTCTCAAAGTATGGCCCATTGACCCCCAGGGGTCCCTGAGGCCTTTTTCTAGGGGTCTGTGAGGTCAAAATTATTTTCATAATAATACTAAAATGTTATACCTATTAAAATACTCCCTTTTCCAACTACATATCTGTGTGAAGCTGAATTTTCTTTCTATACTTCAATCAAAACATCGTAACAGATTGAAGTGACTATGACGATCAGTTCTATTAAGCCAGATGTGATTTTCAAAAACATGTAAAAACAATGCCACTCTTATCACTAATTTTTTTTTGTTTTAGAAGATATTTTCCATAAATAATGTTATTTATGTTAACAGGTAATGAGTTTATTACATTTTAAACAAATCAATAAGTATTATAAAAATGTATTCATTTTAATTTCTAATATAGTAAATATTGATAGATATAATACACATAAACAAAAGCTATTTGTGGTACTGAGTTTTTGAGAGTGTAAGAGTCCCGAGACCAAAAAGTTTGGGAACAGCTTGCTCTAAAACTATAAGTTGCAGAGAAAGTACTAATATGACTAGATAGAGGGAATTTCCTCATACAGTATTTCCTTAACCAATTAAACCCACAGGCCCATTCCCTTTTCTTCCTTTAAGATAAGAAAAACAGAAAATACATAAGCTTCTCTGTTATAAACAAAAATAATCTTAAAGAACTTCTTTTTTTTGTTAGTTTTATATTTGTTTATAATACAGCCTGTCTAACATTACTTTAAGAAGCTGTATCGCCACTCTAGCTTTGCAGAGTTGAAAGGCTGAATAGGACCATAACCCAGGTAACACTTTTAGTCCCACAGGGTAATGGTGTCTAAGGTTGCTAGTAAGGGAATGGGGTAGAGAAGAGGTTCCAGGAAGCTTAGTTACTAAGAAGTAGTTCTTAGAGTAACTTGAGAGACTTTCATTGACTAGCAAGCAAGTCTCCTTCAGCAGTTATGATAGAAAAAAAGGAATATACTTTTTTTCTAGCATGAATTATTTTTATGATATTTAATTTAAAAATATCATTTGGCCTCATTTTCTCAGGGATATATGTGTGTATGTGCGTGTATGTGTGTGTGTGTATTATACACATACACACACATATTTGAGAGGAGTCATGGTAAGTGGGAACAGGTGAAATAGGATGGCCCATGATGATTTTCCCCACTGTAAGACCCGAGAACCACTGAGAGGCAGAGATAAGGAAAAAGAAATCACCCACATAGTGTTTTATGGCAAGTGGTATAGAAAGGAAAGCCAAAGGTTTGAGTGATTTTAAGTAGGAAGCCCTAGGAAAAGAGCACACAAAAATGACCTACTTTTTTTATCCAAGATTTATCCTACAGCAGACAAAACTTCTCAGTCACTGAAAACCATTATTCCACCAGGCCCTACCAACAGTTGCCTTCTGTCATAATCAGTGATGTCATTGTCAGGAAGATTCTGAAGTCACCATTTTGATTTTGGCCTCTTCCTCTATATTACGCCAATAGAGCCTAAGAAAAGAGTCATCCATGAGAGGAGGGGAAAAAAAATGGCATTCACACAGACATGGGCTCCACAGGTAGCGACTATAGGGGAAGGCCCAGCAAAGAGAGCTCTACTTGTTAAAGCAACTGAACAATTTTCAAAGGAACCTGAGTCTTTCCAGGTTGCCTCCTTGACAGAAGGTCCTGCAAAAAAGGCACTGCTTATCAATAAGAAGAAGAAACCTGAAGAAAATGCCCTTTCTACATTAGTTAAGGAGAAACCAAAGAGAGTGAAGAAAACTAGAGCAGTGGTTGTTGACATCGGCACGGGCTACTGTAAATGTGGCTATGCTGGAGAGCCAAGGCCGAGCCATATGATTTCATCTATGGTAGGGAAACCTTATATGGAGACCGCTAAAACTGGAGACAACCGAAAAGAAACCTTTATTGGACGTGAGCTCCTGTGCCCTGATATCCGCCTTAAATTAGTCAATCCCCTGAGACACGGTATCATCGTGGATTGGGACGCAGTGCAGGATATCTGGGAATATCTTTTTCTGCACGAGATGAGGATCCCTACAGAGGAACATGCTGTTTTAGTGTCAGACCCTCCCCTGGGTCCCTATACCAACAGGGAGAAGTATGCAGAGATGCTCTTTGAAACCTTCAACACTCCAGCAATGCACATAGCCTATCAATCTCGACTGTCCATGTACTCTTACGGAAAGACGTCAGGTCTGGTAGTAGAAGTTGGCCATGGTGTTTCCTATGTGGTCCCAATCTTTGAGGGATATCCTTTGCCAAGCATCACAGGTAGGCTAGACTACGCTGGCTCTGACCTTACTGCCTATCTAATGACACTAATGAATCAATCTGGGAAGCACTTTACAGAAGACCAAACAGACATTGTAGAAGACATCAAGAAGAAATGCTGCTTTATGGCTCCCGATCCCATCCAAGGGAGTTCCCACATCAAAGATGACATGATTAAATACCGGCTTCCAGATGGAGAACAGATTACTATTGGCCAAGAACGTTTCCTGTGTTCTGAGATGTTCTTCAAGCCTTCCCTTATCAAATCCATGCAACTGGGCCTTCATACCCAGACTATGACCTGCCTCAACAAGTGTGACATTGCCCTCAAAAGGGACCTCATGAACACCATTTTGTTGTGTGGGGGCAGCACCATGTTGAACGGCTTTCCTGTCCGTTTGCAGAAGGAGCTGTCTAAGATATGCCCAAATGACACACCTACTGTGAATGTGTTACCTGAAAGGGATTCTTCAGTGTGGACTGGAGGGTCAATCTTGGCCTCACTCCAAGGATTTCAGTCACTCTGGGTCCAGCGGTCAGAATACCAGGAACATGGGCCTTTCTTCTTATACAGGAGATGTTTCTGAAGCCAAAGCATGCCTGCTGGAACATGTACTCATAACTCAATTAACTGCTACCTCTCAGGACAGTGGCCCAAGACATATCTAAAATATCATAACTCATGTTCTATTCAATAATTACCATGTTCCAATTCACAGTGTAAATGATCTTCTGTTGCTTGATTTCACAGGAATGGCAGACATCACAAATATGTCATCTGACTTAGGTATTTGCCAAAATGAAAGGGTAGGGGGAGGAGGGAAGTTTAAAGGCATATACTATATTGTTTAACCTAAAAGACTTATTTTTCCTTTAGAGGAAAAAGAGTCTAGTTTATTTACTTACATGCAGTGCTTAGTGCAATTTTATATTTATATATTTGGGGGAAGTAAGAAGGTCCATTAGTCATAACGGTGACTATAGCTTACCAGGTGAGACACAAAAATGCATATTTTCTCCTCAAAATTGGGGTAAAATTATCCAAGAAGAGAAATGTTTAAGATAATAAGAAGAGGCCAATCATTTGTATGTATGCTCTCTTGGAAGTGGGCAAGCAAGGTTCAGTAAGGTACAGACATAAATAAGGAAATCAGTAATTAAGTAAAAGCAACTTGGACCACAGGTTCACAAACCTCTGCTAGGCCATTCATAGAGAAATGCAAATTTACATTAGAATTTTCCACCCAGGGCCACATATATCAAATAAATATGAAATTATTCTTAGAATTTGGCCTGTCAGTAGAGCATAAACTTAAAAAATTGTAGGTGTGAATTATTTTATACCTTTCCAAACTGGGGCTAGAGCAGGTTATATTTGTCAAGCAGGTTGATTATAGGAATAGGTCAACCATACAAAGAAGTATATAATCAACTAGCATTCATTAAGCAACTATTGTATGCCAGGCACTGTGCTAAGGGCTGCATAGTCAACACCCAGATGGGTCACAGACCTAATCATTCCCATTTCCCCAGACAGTCAAGACACAAAGTTCTGATGGTGGGAAAAGTCCCTTTGTCAGAACCTTAGGTGAGTCACTTACACTCCCTGGGCCTGTTTCCTTATTTGCAAAATTAGTTGGATTAGATGGTCTCGAGTTATCTTCTAGTCCTAGATCTGACATTTATTCATTAATTTATTCCATACATATATACTAAATATCTTTGTGTAAGGTACCATGGGTGAGACAGTGTGATACAGTGGAAAGAGTGCTAGCTTTAGTCGGGTTTCTATCTGTGAAACCTTGGACGAGTCACTCAATGTTTCTGAGTTTCAATTCTCTCTTCTGGAAATTGAGACAGGGCCAGAGTGGACAACTTCTAAAGTCCCTCTAGTTCTAACTTTGTGATCTTTGATTTTGCATATGACAACATCCCTGCCACCTTCAAAAAGCTTACCTAACCATGGGCAAGTTATATTCTCTCTAGGCTTCCATTTTTGTTATCTGCAATTAGACTGTTGGACTTATAAGGCATCTTTTAGATTTAAAATTCTGTGACGCCTAGGTGAATGCCTGCTGTGGATATGCTAAGGTGCTGGCTAAGTGCTATGGCAGCATAGGCCTTGCATTCGTGGCACCTTGAGCCCATTTAGGGAGATGATATGCACAGAAATAATTGTACTAGTGCTGTTGTGGAAGTAGAAGGCCAAAAACTAGAGCATTTTCTTCTACTGTGCATTTTCCACCCAAGTCTGGAAATGTTCTTAGGAGTTCCAGGGTGGTGAAGCATTGCGGGAGTAAACATCACCTAGGCTGGGTTACTCTAGAGCCAAATCATCCTTGGTCTAGAATCCCTTTGATTGTAACCCTTCTCTCTTCTCTCCCCTCCCCGCCCTTCAAAGGACAAATTCATTAACTCTAACAGAAATCTAGACCTGTGTGGAATAAACTTCTGGCTCTGCCTCTCACATATCTGGGATTCAGGGTACTCCTGGCGAAAATGAATCATATAGAGCAGTTTGCTACTGCTCAGGATCATCTACAGCAGTGGTTTCCAAAGTGGGGGCCACTACCCCCCAAAGCAGTTAATGGGAGGATGGTTCATGACAAGCCAACTGGAGAACGAGAAAATGAGTGGTATCCCACTCTTCCTATGATAGTCAACTGAATGCTTGTTTCCAGCACACCACCATTATTATCTTCACTCATTATCATCTACCACTCCTCTATTCTCACCATTGTGCAAACTCCTTACCTACCCCTTCCAGTGCCAAGTATCAATTCCTCAGGTGTTTACAACTTAATACTGACCCAGGCACCCACATCTACCGTATAATTGCCACTGGGAAAATTCTTTCTCATCTAATGTATTCACACCCTGCTCCCAAAGCATCTCATGGCTGTGGCAGGAGCCCTCAGGTTGCTGGCAGCCCGAGTTAGTGAACAGTTGACACATAGGATGAGTAGGCATGGATGGGTTACCATCTGCAGTGCTAATCTCATCTTTTCCCTTCTCTATTATTTCCTTACTTCTGCTAAGAGCATGACCACAATCACCCAGGTTTACTACCTTGGTACTATCCTCAGTTCTTCCCTCTTGTGTACTCCACATATCTAATCAGTTGCCACATCTTGGTTTTACTTCATTCCCTTTTCTCTAGGCACACTGCTATTGTTCTCCAGTTCAAAGCCTCACTCTCTCTCACCTATATTGTTGCAGTAGCAGCCTAATTATTCTCCTTGTGTGGCCTTTTCCAATTCTAGTCCAATCACCTCTGAGATGCCGAAAGGACTTTCTACAAGCAGGAGTCTGCTGTCCCACTCAGTAAACTCTGGAAGCTCCCTATTGGCTCTAGGATCAAATATAAACTCCTGGCTCCAACCTACCTTTTTAGGTTAATTATACTTTACTTCCTTCTGTACTCTATGATATAGCCAAACTATCCGTGCTATTCCTTACAACACATCTTTCCTCTCTGTACCTCTGGCCATCCCTCATGGCTGAAAGGTTCTCCCTCCTCTTACCTCATAAAATCCTGTTTCTTTCAAAGCTCACTCAAATAATACCTTTTAGATGAAGCTGTTCCGGATCCTCTCAGATCCTAGTGCCCACCCTTGCAAAATCACCTTGAATTTTGTATATATCTTGTATATGCTCATTTACATACATGTTTTCTCCTCAGACAGGATGTGAGCTGTTGGAAGGCAGGGAATATTTTAGTCTTGCCTTTGTATCCTGGTATTATGACTTGTTCAATGGACATTGCCTCGAACATTACCTCCTGTGGGACCTTTCTTGGTTTGTACAATACACATAGATAATGATCCTAAATTAAGAGATGTCACTTTGCACATTTTTTTCCTGGTTTCACTGATCTTTCACAAGGTAAATGAATTCAACAAATATTTATTAAACATCCACATGCGCAATGTACTGTAGTAGGCTCTAGAAATGCAAAAATAAGCAAGCCACGTTCCTCATGCTCTCCAAGAATTTACATTCTAGTAGCAGTAATGAAACGTATACAGATACATATATCTAAAACTAGAATATGATAAATGCTAAGAGGAATGCAAAGTGTTGAGATGAGGGAAAACCCGTTTCAAATTAGGAGAGATTAGGGAAGGCTTCATGGGAAGGTTAGCATTTTACTCTCTTGAAGGAGGGCAATATATCAGAAATAGGATGAAAAGTGTGTGTACTCGTGTGTGTGATAACAGAGGAGCAGGTTTAGGGAAATATGAACAAAGGCACATGAGGAAGTATGGGATCCATTTGGAAAAGAAAGAGGGATCCAGTTTGGCTGAAGTACAAAGTACATGATGAGAAATAGTATTAGAGAAAGTAAGAAAGAGAGTTTGGAGCAAGATTATGGAAGGACTCGAACGCTGTATTTAGTAGGCAATAGGGAGTCACTGCTATACTTGAAAGCTTCTTACCTGGGCTGGTTGGGTGATAAAAAACTCAACATGCCTCACCCTAGTCGATCTCTTCCCATTTGCTTATATTCATTCAACCAATCAAGAAGTATTTAAGTGTCTAGTATGTGCCAGGCTAAAAATACAAAAATACCCTCAAGGAGCTTATATCCTAAATATAAGGAATTTTTTTTTTTTTTGGAGGGAGGGCAGGATGAAGGGAATGTGATGGCAGTGGTGGTGGTACTGGCAAGGCAGGGAAAGGCCTCATGCAGGTAGGGCAATTCACTTAGGTACTATGTTAGTATATTCTTCAGAAAAGGATCATTGTAAATTGATTACGCATGTATGTGTATGTGTGTGTATATATATGTGTGTGTGTGTACATATATATATTTTATTTTTGAATTTTTTTGATTCAACTTAAACATTTTTATTGACATCTTTTATTTTTACATCACTTTAATTTCTCACTATATCTCTCACCTCCACAGTACATGCAGTGTTCCACATCTATGATCTCCTCTCCAAAGGGGGGGGGGGGTACATTTTCATATCTCTTTCAGGTACAAGTTTGCTCATTATAATAACAGATTTTTTTTATTCTTTCCATTTTTCACTGTTGGAATCATTGTGCATATACATTTTTCCCTCGTTTAGCTTACTTCGCCTTTTCCTCCAGGAGTCTCTATTCTTCATATCACAATAATATTCCATTACATCATGAATCACAATTTGTTCAGCCATTCTTCAAATGATGTAGTCTTAGCGTTCTAAAGAGATCTTGAATTCTTACTAATGCTCCGGGCAATAAAAGAACTCCTTTGGGATTCTAGTAAAATATAAACTCCTCAAGAGTAGGAACTATTTTTAATTTTTGGATACATTTTTCCAAAGCCTCAAAGATAATATGTGCTTAATAAACGCTTATTTAATGTCAAATTATCAGAGCCCAGACTCTAATCTGATTCAACTCTTAAGCAGTGTGGTCCTACTTGTTACAGGTCTTACAGGAAGCAAAATTCTGCAAATATTTTATTCCTATTCCAAGCTAAAACTTTGCTTTTTATAATTTGCTTAAAGCAATATCAAATATGACAAATCTGACTAGAGATTCATCAGAAAGTTACCAATGACAAGCAAGGATGTAAAAATTCTCATATTAGTAT